CATGTCTCAGCCTCCTGAGTAGCTGGGATTACAGGCATGTGCCACTACACCCAGCACATTTTTTTTTATTTTTAGTAGAGATGGGGTTTCACCATGTTGGGCAGGATGGTCTTGAACTCCCGACCTCAGGTGATCCACCCACCTCAGCTTCCCAAAGTGCTGGGATTACAGGTATGAGCTGCTATGCAAACAGCCTCATTTTAAAGTTTTTTAAGCTGTGGAAGTCTCCTTTGTCAAAGATAGAATGTGGAACTTTGGTTTTGTTTTTCACTTTATTCATAAAGCTATTCCATAGCCCATCTGATCAATTCAAAATGGGGTTAACAGTGAGAAATTAAGGACTGCAGATGGGATGTCTAAAAGAGAGCTAACAGGAGAGGTCTAGTAGGAGGAGGAGAGATGGACAAATGAGGGATGCTGGAAGATTAACAGAGACCCCTGCTACTTCTAACAATGTCGTTCTGCAGAAATAAAATAAAATAAAAATCTTAGAAAATATTTTTCATGCCTACAACATAGCATGGATCAAGCAATTTGTGATCTCAAGTATCTGTAAAGAATGACTCTATATTTATTTTTCTTACAAGCATTGCATATGTGGGTGTATGCAAATATATATACAGGCAAAAATGGAAAGGTATATCTACACACACAAATATATGACTGTGTGTGTGTGCACGCGCACGCATGTGTGTGCACACAGGCATTTGAGCTTGAGTGCATGCACTCACCTGAAATAAAAGAATACAGGAATAAAGGGACTATGACATCGAACTGATTAGCAGCACTGGACCTCATTCCTGCCAAGCCCATCCCAAGGCCAAACTAGAGCCTATTATTTTAGATCTTGGGGAAATTAAGCAGGCACAGACTTAAGAAAACATAGGCTGTGGTTAACTTTCTACTTCTTTCTACTAAGAGTGGATGACCAAGCATTTTTGCGACATTAGTCCTCTCTTGCTATCCCTTAGTTAGCTCATGAGAAAATAAGGTGTAAAACTAAACTATCCAAGGTATGAAGCCATCCCTGCCCAACTTAATGAGCAACTAACTAATCCAAAAGGAAAATAGCCATTACTTACACAGCCATAATGTAGATGCAACGTGGCATATAAATCAGTAACTCTTGTATTGCAAAACAGACAAATAGATTAATGCATGTTGCAAAGGATGGGTGAAGAGATCGATTAGGTTACTGATTCAGACCATGAACTTTCTCTCAATATACTGCATTTAACTTTTAAATAAGGTTTAGGAGAACCTGTAACATTTTGCTCACTGACAGAGCTATATTTTACTAAGGGCAGAAATTGGCTAGTCTATAAAAATTAAATTATGCCCCTTTCACTGTATCTAGTCAAGAGGAAAAACTCTAATTACAAGATTGCACTGTCAAACAAATGCAAATTCACATTCTTTATTCCCTGGTTTCAAAATTCATACTGGAGGGGCTTCTATTCTGAAATGAAAATCAGTATTTGAAATATTTTGCAGAGTACAATGACAAGCAAGAGCAAAAGAAGTGTCATTATCAAGGGTGCTAGTAAATAGACACCAACTCATTAAGTGCAGAGCTGGTGAGAACAAGTCATTCGTTATGCAAATATTTAAATATCAATTAGTAAGGACAATGAAAGAAGTTGAAGTGAACCTTCCCTTCCCCACAGCCAGTAACTTATTATTCCAGAAATGACCAAACGGAACAGGAGTGGTGGATAATAATCTCAGCACCTAATAGGAATGTCACTCTGGGGAATAGATAAAGGTTAATTTCAAACGTACTTCCCAGTTGAAAATTAAATGTACCTGCCTCAAAATTCATAAGAGCTGAGTTTGCAGACTTAGTCCAGAAACTGAAGGCCTACACATATTGCACGGCTGGTATTTTTTGGAAAGAGAACACCTTTCATTACTGCTTAATGTCAGACTGGCTTAGTTCGTTAAATTTTCTTAGTTGATTTAAAGCCCTGGTTTTTCTATACCTATGAAAAAATGCCAGTCCACATAGCACTCAAACTTAAAAATCTCACTGGTTGGTTCTCAGATTCTTGACATCCACTTCATGGCCTGTCTACCCGGACTGTTAGGTGAACTTGGTGGATATGAAAAATGGTCTAAACTCTTTGAACTTTGCCTGGACTATCTTTTCGGGCAGACTTGGCAGGATATTTTACGACACGCTGGCTGTGTGGTATTACAGCAAAGGTGCTGGCCAGGGAAGCAGGCTTCAAGCGCCTCTTAGTAACAGCTGGCTGGTGAACTTGGACCATGCATCTAATTTTTCTGGACCTTGCTGTCTTCCTCTATAACACAAAAAGGTTTGTCCCTAGATCAGTTCTCAACTCGGGTCACCCCAGAATCACTGGGAAGTTTATAAAAGACCCATGGCCAGATATACCACAGATTTATGAAACGGGCTTCTTTAAGCAGAGACCCAGCCATGTGGAGTTGAACAAAACTCCCACCAAGATTCCAACATGCCTCTTTAACTAGGAGTCGCTGGGCTCTTTCAGCTCCAGTATGCTGAGATTCTCAGGATAACATATGTTATTGATCAAACTTAAAAGAAATTCTGACTTCAATTCTTAAGAGCATCATTTAACAGGCATTACTTTCTCTGGAGTGGAGATGTTGACCATGTAATAGAATTACATGCTGACTGGCTGTGGCATGAGGAAACAAGATCTTGAAAGATGACCACCAGATTTCACAAGATTCTATATGTACAATCCAAAGAGAAAAGTCAGATGTCTCGGGCGCTCAACAAAAGTTAGCTCTTGTTACTATGATGATTATACTACAACTGTGTTCACTTAGAGTTTTAGATTTGCTCTCTATCCTTATTGGCAAAAAATTAAATTGGTCCCTAATAAGTACACGGACATCAAAATGGAAGTGCCTTGGAGGTATGAGCCCCCCCGGACATTGCTCTTTGGATGCAGAAACAGATCCGTTTGGCTTGTTTCTATGGAGTTTAGGCTTAGAATGCCTTGCTTCCATGTGCACACACCCCGACCTAGCATCCTTCCCTTCATAACCTTTTCCTTTGAGTTCGTCGACTGCTTCTGTTTATCAAACTTCACAATTGAAACTGCCTTATTGATTCTGTCTCGACCTGTTGGGCTGTGACCTGTGGCCTGAGGGATCTGGTTTGGAGACAAGATGCCCACCTTGTCCGAGCTTACAGAAAACGAGCAACCTTAGGCCAGGCACGTGAAGACTGTGCTGAAGTTTCTGTGGATAAAATGGAAGTTAAAATGCCTCCTCTGCTTCTTTTACAGAGTGGTTTTGAGGACAGAATGAAGCAAGATGAAAAACAGCACTTTGAAAATGGAGTGTATGGTATTCATCTTAGACACACTTTTACAGAGGAAGAAATGTCTCTCAGAAAAAGAACCTCTCTGACTCACATTTAGCTTACATCCCTTTCTCGACCATATCCTAGGTGATAAAACATGACACCCAGGTAAGCAGTGGCCTTGTGGACTCTGAAGAAGTTCTTAACGTGTCCACAGTACATTCTGTCTGGCTCTAAACTACTGTCTCAAGAAAGCTGCAAATATTTGAACGTAACAATAAAGTGTTAACAGTAATTCTGACTAAAATCACAGCAGTCCCTCTGGTAGAAAGGCAGTAAATTTTTTGCTCAGGTAAAATGTAGGAAAGAAATACAAGTAAAAAAAACCCCATTTGTTCAAATTATCCCTATCAATCTTAACTGAAGAATTATCGCCAAGTTTGTTTTGTTTTGCATTATTAATAGCCCAAATCCCATGTGCCAAAATGATGTTTACTCCTTTTCTTGGGACACATTACGCTTGAGAGCCAGTATGTCTCAGGCTTCCCAGAAGAGTGATTTTGGTGCAACAAATAATGACCTATAAAAACAGCCCTTACAACTACACACACACCACAACACAGCGCAGTGACAAGCTGGCATCTGCTTTCCAAATAACCATGAGGATAGCAATATGACATTTCCAGGCCCTTCTCTGAGAAGAAACAACTTTCCCAAGCTGTTGGCTTTAAAACTAGAGTCCTTGCATCGATTTGCCAGTGGGTAAAGGGAATCATATAACAGTTCTAATCACTTCGCCGGGTTCTGCAGGCAGTTCACAGAACTAAAGGGAAGTGGGGGCTTTGGTTCATTCAATATCAGCCATAAAGTTACGCTATTTCCCATCTTTTCAATATCCTTAAAATGGCAACGTCTGTGTTTATGGTTTTGACCTTGAAACTGAAGTAACAGCTCCACCTATTCTCCCAAAGTTCCGGTTATAATTTGGGGAACTTTGAGTTCTAATAAGACAGCTGGGGTAGGGAGCTGGGGGAGGGTTGGAAAGTTCTACCTCAGCGAGAAGACCCTTGGTCAGCTAGAGGGAGTAAGGGCTATCCCACAAGACCCCTTCGTCCCTCACAGGACGCTCAGGCCGTCTTCTCAGCCAGCCAGCAGCTAAGCTGGTAGGGCCGAGAACGGCATTCCTTTGAAAGATCTTGGCAATTTGTGCCTGGAAGTTGATGCATTAGTTCTAAAATTAAATAAAGATCCTGTAGTGTTCTTCAAGGAAATATGGCGTGCCTCTATGACAAAACACATTTTTCAAGCTCTGACCTCTGGGAACTTCAACTAGCTCCATATTTCAGGCTGCCAATGCTCACAGGCTACTGTCTAGTTGCCCAAGCCAGGCCTGGTTAGCCATATATTTTCTATCTCCATCAGCTTGTAGCATAGGGAGGTGAAGAGAGTAAATAAAAAGAGGAGAGCCACTAATTTAAATGCACTTCCCCTCCCAAGACCCTTGGGGAGAAGCCCTGGTAATTCATGAGATTAAAGTAACTTGGAACTCTTCATTTTCCCAGCACTGTAAAAGTAAATCTGCGATAACCAGTGTGTGGGCATTAAATCAAAGTCAGTCCTTTTTCCTGTTATTTAATGGCCCCCTCACTCCCACCCCAGAGCCCAGGCTTAAGAGCGAGGGGGAGGGCTGCCAGGCTCTTACCGGCACTTTGCTCCATCACTTCTTTCTGACACATATCTTGAACGTTCACCGTGCAATTCACGATGAACTCAGGGGAGGAGCAGTCGTTGTTCAGCTGGAATTCTTCACACTGGTAGCACTGGATTTGCAGCGCAAAGCCTGCGAGACAGACGCAGTCGGGTTCAGATCCGGCCCCCACAGAGCCCACCCCGGAAATCACGACCATCCCACGCCCCAGAGCGCGGCGGCTCCCGGCCTCTGGGAGGCTTGGGGCTCTGCACTCCTGGGTCTCCGGGTAGGGCCAGATGTGGCTGAAACCGGCAGGGGGCGGCGCGGGTACCTAGGGTCCTTTAGGACAAAATGGAATAGTGCCTGCCACCTCTGGACCCCGGCTCTAGACACGAAGAGCCCATTCAACACCACCCCAGGCCTTTTCCCAAGAAGTTGAAAGGAGGGTGGGGATGGTACCACCCGAAGAGCGAAGTAGCTCTGGAGACGTGCGTTAGCTCCAGCCAAAGCCAAAGGATTTGCCTAATTGCTAATTGGTTACAAATTACTTAATTACTATTTTGGCACCATTCGTGATTACATTCGCAGACGTCTTTTCAGTTTTTATTTATTTAATTTTTAAAGTCAGCGTTTCTGTGCCAGGGCTCTGAGGATCCCTGAGCGGACCACCTGGGAACAAGGGTGGAGGTGCCAGACGCCAAGTGCTGTTGCGCCGCAAGTCCCCGAGCCCGGGTCTGCGGCCCTTCTCCAGGGCCGTCCCCGCGGCGACTCGGGTGGCCACAGAGGGTGGGAGAGGGCGTTTGTGAGCGCGCACACCCTGGATCCAGACCCCGCGGCCCTTTCTTCCAGGCCCCGGCTTTCAGGGCAACCGTTCGGCTAGGGTGGGTGGTCGGGGTCCCAGCTCTGCAGAGCTTAGTCGGGAGCCAGTAGGCGAACTGGAGAGAGGACGCGAGACCTTTGCGCCTCTGGTCGCTTCGTCCTGGCTGTTCTCGGTGTACGCGCTCCTGTCTAGACCCAACTGCCCGCGCTCCCGCTGCCCCACATCTATCGCACTCTAAGCGCAGCAACCCAGCTTCAGCGCGGCCGCAGGCTGCCTAGCGCGCCGCTCACCTGTCGGCGGCGCCACTCCCACCGGGTGCCGGAGGCACCAGACAACTTGGCGGGGTTCGGGAGATGTCGCCCCCTCTTCCTCGCCGAGACCCCAGCACGGCTCGGACCCTCCCTCCTCCCAAGCCCAGCTTCTGCCGACCGTGCAGCCCGAGAAGCTGTAGCCCGGAGTCCGGCGAACCCGCCGCTCCCGGCTCTCCTGCAGCGCGGGACTTGGACACTTTCCCAGCCTCGCGCCCCGGGGCACCAGTCGCCGCCGCCCAACTCCCGCTGGGCAGCCCCAGGGCAGGGCTGGCCCCAGGTGGGCGCCTTGGGGGGCAAAAGGGCTGGCTGGTAGATGGACTGTGCGCACTTGGCGCCGGCTGCTGGCCTCTGGGCATTCTCACCTGGAAGCAAGAACAATCCGCAAAAAGTTGCCGCGATGCCTAGGACCCACATTCTCCCGGAGTCCCGGGACCGGGAGCGGGTAGGCGCATCAGAGGAGGCGACCGCAGCGGAGGCTGCCCCGGCTGCAGCGGCTGTGGCTGCCGAGGCTGCTGGGGCCCGCGCTGCTGCCGCCGAGACGACGGTCGTAGCTTAGAGGAGCCGCAGGTGCCGCTCGCGGCGCCTGCATCGCCCGCGCTCGGGCTCCTGGCTGCGGGTCTCCGCTCCTCCCGCTCGCGCTGCCGGGCCGAGCACCGCGCCTCCGGAGTTGGCGGCTGAGACTGAAGGAACTACTGGCGATGCGGAGCACCCACAAAAGTCTCGCCTTTTCTCCCCACCTCCCACTCCAGGCACCACGTGACGGCCGCCGAGTTGGGGTGGGGGTGGCGGGCGGGGAAGGCTGGGACCGTCTCTCTACATCCCCACCCCCTTCCTGTCTTCCTCTTCTCCCGCCTCCGCACATTCCTGGGAAAGGGGCGCCGGGGGGCGCGGGAGAGGACTGGTAGTTTTCTGAGGTGAAGAGGCTGGAGATTGGGGGAGCGGCGGGGAGGGCGCAGCAGGTGCCGTGGGGACCTGCCGGGTGCGGACTAGGGTCTGAGGACTGCGTGCCCGGCTGGCCCTTCGCATATAGGGACGCGGCCTCCCCACTCCACGTCCTCTGCGCCTTCCAGGACTGGTCAGTACCCCCAGCGACTGGGTCCAGCCCACACCGCTGAGGCGGTCCCACTGCGGGCCGCTGGAGCCTGGCGCCCCGGGAGGCTGACAGGAGGGGAGCACGTTCCCGTGCACCTGGCAAAGTTCCACGCTCGCAGGCTCCCTAGGGTGTCCTGTGCAGCTGTGCCCCCTCTTCCTCCGAGGCCTTCTGTCAAGAACCAGCTCGGCATGGCCAGTCTGGATGGGGGTGTGGTGGGGACACTGCCTTGACTGTCGCACTTGCCCGGGCCACCCTCCCTTCTCCCGCCTGCGCGCACCGCTGGAGGGTGCATTGACACCGCCCTGGTCGCCTAGCCTAGGAGAACGCCGTCCCGGGAGCACCTGCCGTGAGGTCCCACCAGAAAGCAAATCAGGGTAAAGAAGAGGGTTGCTTTTCTCCATTCCTTGTCGCCAAAACGCCGACCGGCTCCATCCTGTTTTCTCCAAAGCCACCGATTATTAGTACATACTCCCACGTCCTCTCCCGGAAGGCCATCCCAGCCTCGGACTCGGCCTCTGGCTGCTCCCCACACCCCTGAAATTCCTCTTCTTTCCGCAAAGTCCAAGTGACCCACCTTGCGTACTCCCAGGGATGCCCCGGTGCTATCTTCGCCTTCCTTCCCCAGCCTTGCAGCAGGTGTTGCGGGAGGCCGCTTGCCTGCCGGAGTGCGTTGGTGCCCCCGCCCCCAATCCGCACATTCCCACCCCCTTTCCCCACATCCTTAGGGAGCGTCCATTTCCGTGGAAATCGCCTCCTAAGCTTTGCCCCTTTTCACCCATTTCTCCCGCGGCCACTTCTTGGGGCAGCTCTCTCCGGCCGGGACGCTGATCATTTATTTTTGCATCCTCCCAGCTGAGCCGGTCTGGAAAGGAGCTTAAATGACTTGCTTTGTAATTCCTCTGCAGAGATCACTCCATGTCTGCCTCGGGCTCCTTCTCTCCCTCCCTCCCCCCTTCTTTCATTTCTATTTGGTTAACCCCTCGGGGAGACTGAAATGCTTTGACCATTACTCACCTGTCTGCAGACTCTGATCTTAAAATTGGCTAAATTACTATCTCTAGAGCAAAAGGGCCAGTTTATTTATTCCTTCGGGAAACCCATCGGAAGAGCACGTGTGAGTCATGATTCAAGTAACTGACTGGGCCAAAAGGTCCTTGAGCAAGTTATTTTCAGTTTTCAGAGGGTGCAATTGTGATATAACTTTTATTCAGAAAGAAAACAAAATGATTTTTTAAAGTCTGAAAGACAAGGACATTTTACATAATTTTCATTTAAGATAAAATAAAACAAATTGCACAAATTAACCAAATAACACTGATCATACAATACTCTTTAAAGAAACAATTATGTGCTAAAGTAGCCATATAGATCCTAAAAATATTTCTATTGTGCCTAGTTTACAAGCTCCTGTACATAAGCAATTATAAATAGTTCACATCTAGAAAAAATACACATAACCTTTAAAATAGAATTTATCCTTACATATAAACAGTCTTTGTAGAAAAAAAGGATATTAAAAAGAATTCTTCGTAGCACCATTAATTTTATTTTTAAAAGTGAACACTGCAAATAGAAATTTGCTTTCATTTTTAGAGTGCCCAGATTTTAATAAAAAGAGCAAGAAGATAAAAATCAAATAAAAGGATCATAGAGAAGCACTAAGTAGAAGACAATCTAAAGAAATGTCTGGAAGGAAAAGCTGTTATTAGGAATAAAATTCGGTCATTTCTGATACAATGACACACTCCCAATCAGTGTCCACACTTTAGGACCCTTTTCATTTTTCAGCAGAAGCAGAATTACACCGATTACTATCACCTGAATCTCTGGCAACGAATCTGAAATTGCACTAAAATGAACATTTCTATCAAATTGAGATTTATGAGATGGAGATGAGGAGGAAGGAACCCTCTGGTTTTTTGGCAGGCCCTGTTGTAGGTTTACAGAGTGTACCCACAAACAATTTGAGGACCAGGACAATGAACATCACAAAAACTTCAGTTGGGATTTTAAAAAATATATATTATCATCAACTTCTAAGACTTAGTACATTATTTCAAGAGCATGGCGCTGATTCCATTTATTGCTGTCTGTTTTTTTTTTTGCTACAAATATAATTTCTCTTCCAAAAAATTTACAACTTCTGTACAAATATTCAAAAAAAGTGCAAAATTAAGGATTCTGTATCATAGGTGTGTTTACGCTTAATCCTCTTGAAACACAATAAATGGAGTCTATCTTTATTGCCCTGTCAGAGATATGAGCTCTGGTGGGTTGCCTGCTGTGAATTTGACAATGAAGGCTCTGGTACTTCAATAGTTTATTATTGTCAGCTCTACCCAGCAGCACACCCCCCGCCACCCCCAGCCCTCATTTCTTAAGCGCTCCAGTCCCAGCTCACTAAGGGAAGAGAAGTCCTTTATACATCATTTGAACCTTGACTGGCACAGGAAGAGAAGCTATCATATAAAGAATCACTCAAAGATTCCAAGTTGTCTACCCCAGGCCTATCTGAACTACTCAAAGATGTCTCTTCATTTTTTTCTTTTTCTTCCTTCTGTCCTTCAACCTTGTTCAGAGAGTTCTTCTCTTTTTCTAATAAAATCACAGTATTGCTGTGAAATTTATTGAATGACTCCAGGGAAATTTTCGATAATCTATTCTCGGGATCGTCTTTTGTTTCTTCAAGTTGTTTCAATTTCTGCAATAAAACGAAGAAAATATTAGAAACATATTTCTTTGGAAAATCAAGTTATTCTATCTAATATTCAATTATTGTCTGTATAAAGTACAGTTTAAAGGGATAGAGAAAACCTACAAGTCTTTAACAATCTTCTAGTATAATTAAATGTAATAATAAAGCCAATTTTAGGGATAAATCAGGACTTTAATCATTTTACTGAGATAAATAGGTCCCAATTTGCAAACCAGTTAAGTGCCACTTAATTTCATTTTAAATGGATCCATTTGAAATTTGTTCAGGTAAAGTGCCTTATTTTTCTTCATCAAAGTTTCAAACTCCTCTCTTTCCTTGCTAACTATTAGTTGTACTTTTTCTAAATATGAGTAGGGATTGAATTTCAGCCAGAAGTTATGGTAATTTTTTTTTTTTTAAAAGAAGACATAAAAATCCCTTAACTTGCCATTTTCGAATACATGTTAAGCTTGTTAGAAGCACTGCCATTTTGGTATTTTGTCCCTTTATGGGACTTAAGATACTTGAAAGAGATCTCCAGGTTTTTGGGTGTAGATCCCAGAAGGCCCAAGGGCTTAAAAATTAAAGTGGCAGGTGAACAGCTGAGTAACCCCTCTGCTCCAGAAGGTCTAGTAATACCAGTTTACACTGGGATATTACTGTTATGAATACCCTGTGTGATGTTATAAAGCACCGCAACCAAATTCAATAATTATTATAGGTAAACCCTGTAAACATAAATATATTCGGTTGCTCAGTTGGCTCCTAAGGGCTAAGGTGAGGACAGAGGGAGGCACTGATGCCAAAAACAATGACAAGAACAGATGTGTATAAGTGTCTACAATGTTTCTCATCTTCTTTTCCTCTTTGCAGCAGAAATTCCATCCAAACACAAGAAAGAAGCAGGCCCAGGGTCTTAGAGATGATAGTAAGTGTTACCATTTATTAAGCATCCACTAGGTAAAAGACACTTAACAGATTCTATCAGCTGTTTCACAAACCTGCAAGGTAAACATCCCCATTTTAAACAGAAGGCACGCAAGGCTCAGAGTGACAGCGATATTTGCCAAAGGTTGCCCAGCAAGTGGCAGAGAACAGGATTTGAATTTCTGTCTGGCTGCCTTCCACGCTCTTGTTCTTTCCATTAAACCATGTTCTTATGTAATAAAGGACAAAATGTCCTGTTTTCCATTTTGTTACCCAAAAATTCCACTTAAATAACTTGCCAAACCGTCTCTAACATGTGCAGTTCTGCTGTGCACCATGCTCCCCACCCCCAACATTATTATGCTGGACTTACAAGGTTGCAATGAGGAAACTGTGTTTTGATTGGGGAAAATAGATAGAGTCAAAGCCTATGGATTCTCACATGCTAAATATTTAACAGAAAGAGAAGAGAGAGATGGAAGTGGATGGCTTCTGTGTTCCAAGAGCAGACACGGGCAGAATTTCTCTGCTATAGGAAATGGTATAATTCTACGGGAAGATTTGAAAATCATCCTAGATCTCGTGCTTATTTCATTATACTGTTAACGTGCACAAGCATTACTCATGGAGCTAATTTTCAATCTCAAACAGCTACCCTGAAACCAGAGGCAGGCTAAGGAACAGACTCCTAGCTGATTACAGAAAAGTGGCTCCATAATTAGAAATAACTCCATCCAAGGGCCCAGTTTAATACTATGCCAATTTGCCTACATTTACCAAATGTAGGTAAATAAAGGGCATTCAATGCAATTTTCTCTTTACCTGGATGTCTTCTCCCTTTTTCTTCATTTAAGAACCACAAGTATTTTTCTTACCTATTTCTCATCTATGTGGATCTCAAATTCATTCAACACACACTCATTAGAGAAGCTACTGCAAGGCAGGCTGAAGGCTTTGGTACTGAGGATACACAGCTGAATAAAACTGTGCCCTGCAGGGGATCGTTGAGGCCCTGAGGGCAGACAGGCTGAGCTTCAATTTCAGCTTGGCCCTTTCATGGGCTGAGTGCTACAAGCATCCTTCTTCAGGTGTAAAATGGTGATAAGACACATCTTTATTTCAGGATTGCAATACGTATTAGAAATAACGAACTTTAAAGCTCTGGCAGAGAGTAGTAGGTGCACAGTAAATGTAAGGCTGGATTCTTATTCTAGAATGGTGGTTCTCAAAGTGGGTTCCCCAGACCAGCAACATCAAAATCACCAAGGAATCTGCTAGAAATGCAAGTTCCTGGATCCCACCTAGACCTACTACATCAGAAACTCCGAGGGCCAGCAATCAGTTTTTAACAAGATGACCAGGTGATTCTGATACATACTGAAATGTGAGACCCACTGGTCTAGAAGAACATGAGCCCTGGCGGGAAGACAGACAGGTGGAAAATATAATTCGTTGTGAAATGGTGGAATATGGAAAGAGTTAATTGCCATTAAAACACTCGCTGTCATCAGGTTTTCAAATGTTTCAGGCTTGCAGATTTGTTGCTTCAGTTAATTATAACAAAGAAAACCTACACCTGACAGGGAGGTTACAGAAATGAAAGAAGGGACCATTATTATTATTATTATTTTAAAAAAAGCAAACAAGAAACATGACCTTCTCGGGCTTCCTTTTATTTTTAGAGTTTTGATGAAAAGTGAGTGCAGACATATTACTTGACTGTAAAAACAACATCCGTGCAAAAGTGACCATAGGGGCCAACTAGCTTTCAGCCTCCAGGCAGAGCAGTCATAAGGAGTGGTGAGGGCTGCAGCCAGCTCAGGAGCACGTGCTGGATCTAAAGGCAGTAGCAGCTACTTAGATCTAGCTGTGCAGAAACGTGGGTGCAGATCTTTTGATTTCAAAGGTGAGGAGATACATCTAGATCAATATTTGCTTGTATTTAAAATTCACTGGCTTTTAATTATTGGCTCACATTTAAAGAAAACAATCACAAAATACCCAGTATACACACCAAATTGAAATATTTGCACTGTTTGAGATTCTGAGCCAGGGATGTTATTTTATCTCCCCCCCCCCTTTTTTTTTTTTTTTTACAGTGTCCTACCTTGCCTCCTCCACTCCCCTATTCTGCTTCCCCCAGCTTTCTTTTCAAAGGCCTAGTCCAATGCTAAATCATCAGTAGTTTCTTAATGGAGACTTCCCCTAGCATCAGAAGAGTCTTAACTATGTCTCTGGGCTCCTCAAGTGGTCTGCCAGCTAAGAATAAAAGCAATGAAGTGGCTTACTTTTCTGCCTATAGGAGCATACCGAACCTCAATATTATCTTGTCAGATCTCAGATATTTTAAAAATTTTGTAGTTGAATAACATTTAGATTTAACATATAAGGAGGGATTGAGGTGAAACAATAATGTGTTAATGATCTATCTGGCACATGATAACAAAATAATGCACATCAGTTTGCAGCAACTATATGTGAAAGTGCTTTGCAAACGAATCACGGTCATAACAGTTACCATTTAACAGTGTGTGTTCTGTATAGACACCCTGCTAAGCATAGTGCATAGATTATATGTTTCCATCCTCACATGAATTCTACAGGGTGGGTGCCATTAGTATCTCCATTTACAGGCAACCAAGGCTGGAGGAAGGTAAGTGACTTGTTTAAGGTCCTGTAGCAGTATGGGATGGACTTTAGATTTAGATCTAGGCCATCTACCTGCAGAGATGAAGCTCTCAACTTTCATCTTGGAAAAGTACTTTATGAATATTAGACAATATTACCTTTAAGGGAAGCATCTGAAATAGCAATTACAGATCAAAAACAATAGTGATAGATCCAGTGAAGATTAGTGTTTGACAAGAATTGTGTAGGTTCCATAAAACATTGCCAATTCCTTCCTGTGTCGTGCTTCATCAGAATGATGATGAAATTAATATACTACATCTGTCACCTATAGGTGGCAACAGTTGTACAGATGACTTTTTGGTGGAATTTTTTTTTTTTTTTTTTTTAAACTGCACTTGGGAATAAAAGTAGGACTAAACAGGCAAGACGAAAATATGTTTTCAAGTTTAAATAAATAGCTTTGCATGTTCTTAAAATATTTTCCTGCCTTTAGTGTAACCATGGAATTATTAGTGATAATTCGAGCAAGAAGTATATAGTGATATATTCTTCAGAAATCTCTTGAGAATTAGACCTTTATTAATTTAACTCCTTGTAGTCAAGCAGTCATTCAATCAAACCTATCTACTATGTGACCAGCTTTGTGCAAATACTCTTGTGGTCTTGAATCTCAGAGGAAGTTTTATAGAAGAGGATGCTCTTGGAATGGTTTTGAAGGGCAAATAGGATTGAAATATACAGCAAGGAGGAGGGAGGGCATTCCAATAAATATCCATCTATTATGCCCCTATTGCATCTGTACAACACTGTGTAGTATACTTCAGGATCAGGAGTTGCCCAGAGGGTAATCCTCCCTTTGGGGATTCTGTAGTAGACAATCACTATAAAGAGAAATAGAGACATGCGTACCCCAAGAGGTTCTAGGAAACTCAACCCGACTCATGAAAGTATCAGCCAGTATGTGGGTTATAAAAAGCTTTGACTTCCAAACCACGTTCTCATCTATGATCTCACTTTGCTCTTCCATCAGCCTGGAAGGTCAGGGTGGCCAGAGTCAACTGTACTTTCCATGTGATATTTATGGAATCTGTGATTCACACAGATTCAAATCCAAGTGAAATTAGGCCTGAAAACTTAGTTTTCTGATTTTTCACACAAAAATTCACAGCAGCTTTTTTTTTTTCCTAACAGTTCACAATAGTCATGAAGTAGAGATTTCTGACTAGAGCAATATCCTGAACACCAAGAAGGATAAAACTGGAGGAGATAATGGACCCTTGCCATAAGGAAGAGGTGGAAAACATATAAGGTGATACAGAAAAACTCAAGTGATAAACTAGCAAAAAATACATGCATAATGGTATCAGCTTCAAAGAGATACATGTTATGTGTGTACAGCCGGAAACTCCTGTCCATGGTAGAGGAGAACAAGCAGCAAATTCATGAAA